TTAGCAGCCAACTTCTCCAGAGGTCCCGACGCATAAGTTCCACCCCCAGAAATCTTCTGCCCTCCTAATGGCCTCTTCTAGAGTGGCCACATGGAGGCAGTACACCCACTTGCACATCTCTGCTGGGAGGACAGCAAAAAATTGCTCTAGTACCACCAGCTCCACAGTCTCCCCCACTGATCTGGTATCTGGGTGGAGCCACCAGGTACATAAATCCTTTAGGCTCCAAGCCATAGTTTGGGGACAGGTGTGAGCATCTCAGGCCTTACTACTAAACCGTCGTCAGTAGGCATCCTCAGGGAGGCCCAGGCAATTGAGAGTTGCTGCTTTAAGCATCCTATTGTCTTGAGCCACTGCTGACCCCAAAGAAGCTTGGGATTCCCCCATAAGAAGTGGGGCCAACTGCATGGCCCAGGTGTTCTGGGTCCATCAATACTTCTCTGCCGCACATTTGAGTGTGGCCAAGAAGGCTTCTGGGCCACTGGCTGGTCCCACCTTGTTCAGAACCCCAGGCTCCCTCCCAGGGTGCACAGGGCCTCCACCCCCTGGAGCAACATTCCTCTACCATGCCATCTGCTGTTGTAAGAAATCCTGTTGTTGGAGTTGCAGCTCTTTTTGAAATTCCTGCCGTTGCTGCTGCAGATCTCTTTGAAATTGCTGTTCCTGCAGCTGTAGTTGATGAAATGGCAGCTGTTGCAGCTGGAGGTGTTGCAAAAGAGTCTCCTTTTCTATCCTTGGAGGGATGTTTCAGATTACTTTCATTCTCTACCAGCTGTAGTGGAGTACCAGCTAGCCTGGCTCATATCAGTCCTTGAGCCCCTGAATCTGGTCCCAGCAACAGTCTCTCTCTGGGCTCAGAAACACAAACTGTAATGCCCTGGGTTTTTTGCTTTCCAGGGCTCAGGCAAGATCAAACCATTCACATGAACACACCTGTAGCATGTGCCCAGCAACACAAGCTTCAAAGCCCCAGGTTAATCTGCAAGACGGGGCTCAGTTGCTAATACAAACCAATTCCAGAATAAACGCTCCCAGCCAGGGTCAGTTCTCACCCTCTGGTCTTCCAATCAGTCCTCCCTCTCCAAGCAAACATTCTCCCCTCTTGGTCCTCCTCCCCCTCACTTCCTCTTCCTGTCTCCTTTTACTGCTGGGTCAGCCAATCAACTTCCCCTCATTACTGATCAACTGAGCCAGCTGCGGCCCCTTAGGTAGGGCTATGCAAAGCTTCGGTCCCTCATTCGATTTAGCGGAGATTCAACCCAATTCTGTGGCTGAATCTCTGAATCTGAATTGAATCAGGAGACCCTTTAATCTCTCTGAATCAAATCGAAGCCCTCTGAATTGATTTGGAAAGATTCGGAGATTTGGACATAGGCACAGATTTAAATGTATTTTCTACATAGCTCAAGGTAGCAGGTGGTTCATGAATACTGTGATGGTGCAGCGGATAAAGCATCCCACAGGAGCTTGGGGTGGGAGTGGGGCCCCAGCATGCTCGGCAGCAGACCTGGAAGTGGACCAGAAGCACTTCTGGTCCACTTCCGGGTCTGTCAGGGTCCCCAACACTCCCCCTGGCTCAGTGGCTGGTGCCTCCTGGGTCTGGGGGGGCACCCAGGGTCCCCCCACGGTCGATTGCTGAGCCAGGTGGCCGGGGGGGGGGCAGTGTGTTCCCCGGTGGACTCGGAAGTGGACCAGTACTTCCAGGCCACTTCCAGGTTCACCACTGAGCATGCAGGGGGGCCCCTTGCACTCCTGTGGGATGCTCCATCCATCCCACCATTGCAGCGTTCATGAGCCACGCCTGGTACCTCGAGGTATGTAGAAAAAACAGTTAAAGCTGTGTCTATGGCCAAATCGCCGATTCTCCAAATCGGCATCGAATTGTCAGATTTGGATTTGGCTGAATCGAATCGGGGACAGTGATCTGAATCAACAAATTGAATCACTGCTCCCGATTCAGGATGAATCCGAATCTGAATTGAATATGGCCCATTTTGCACACCCCTACCCTTAGGCGGGTGGTCTGTTACCAGCTGGCTAATTGCTCCAGGCTGCCAGCCTGCAGCCTGTTACAGGCTGACTCCATTTTAACTGAAGTTTCACCCTCTTAAAGTATAATTCTACTCAATATAGTGTAAAATGGCATTGTGAGCCCTCACAATTATTGTCAATGATATGCTCAGTTCACATCAAACACATCCTGGGATCTGGCACTCAAGCCAGGTATTTTTTTCCTTCTATATCATCACCAGTAATAAGGACTCTGTAAGTTGTCATATACCTGTTCAGCCAAGGTGCATTCAAGGGTATTGCTCAGGTGCAAACAACCAGCACTTAGCATTTCTACAGGAGATGCATATGGAAGAAAATAATTCACTTTATTCTCTAAACTTTATTGCCTTTGTGTCAACAAGCAAGAAGCAGCAACAGCTTACTTTCATTAATAAAATCAGCAGATGTGACTGATGCACACAGATGGCAAAATCAGCTGATGGCAAAATCAGCTGACAACAGCTTTCACTGTTAGTATTTTAGAGCAAATCATCTCTACAGGAAGGAAACAGTAGGCTAAAGCTGTAGGCAAAACTGTCCCTAACTGGAGGGTGGTAGGGAAACCAAGTGAGGCTCTATTGCCTATGGTGGTAGTGGTTTCAACTCCTATCTTCATGGGAAGTCTGTATTTTAGAAAGAATACGGTGACAATACTAAACTTTGTTATTTTTCTTAGTTAGCTATTTGTGCAGAGCTCAGTAGGGATTCATTTTATTTAGACTAAATGAGCATTCTACTGGAATATATTTTGTTTAAACTGGCAAGTATTCATTCAAAGACTGATGATAAAATGGGTAAACTATGAGAATCCACGTGCCTTCCTACTGCTGGGGATACTGGGGAGTACATGGCAAGACAAAATTTAAATGGAAATAAAATGGCAGCTTGTTGGTGTATGCAGCAGCAGGGAGCCACCCCCTCCTGACCTCTGGATGAGCCACCCGTGGCTCTGTCCTGTTCCCCACCCTGGCCCCAGACCCAGCATCTGCCTCACTCCCTCCCTCACCGTGGGGACCTTGATCTGCCCTGCCCTGTTCCCCTCTCTCCCTAGACTTACTGGCAGGCAGCTGGAGGATCTGCTCTCCACTGTTGCCTGGGGCTGTATTCCTACTCGTGTTCATATGTATGTGTACGTGGCACCCCTGCATCCTGCTCTCCCCAGCCCTTGCAGGCTAAAACTCTGCCAGCCTGCAAGGGGAAACCCGCCATTTCCTGTTTTTTCCCCGCAGTAAACAAAAAACCCGGATCCCTGCATGACATTGGAAATCTGGAACAAATGCTGTCCCAGAGTCATGCAGTCCAGGACCGGGACTTAATGTTCCCATTTTGGGACTGTTCTACCCAATTAGAGATGGGTGGTTACCCTACCCTCTTCCCAAGAGGGCAAGGCCCTTGGGCCTATGCAGATTTCCTCTTTCTGATGGGTGACCATCTCTTGGGGTTTAGGAAAAAATGGCCAACAAGCAGACACAAAACAGATGTGTATCCTATTATTTTAGATCTATATGACAGATGGCACTAGCATTATTACAAAAAATTGACCCTAGAGTTGATGGCTGGGATTATGTGGACACTAAAAGGCTTTAATGTCTACATATAATTGAGTTTTAAAGTCAGTTTTTCATTTTCGTTTAAGCTTTTGAAAAACTCAGCCAATTATAATGGGATCCACAGGTGATAGAAGATGTTAGTTATCAGTTAGTGATCATGAAGTGGGTTAGGGTCAGTAAAGAACCTCAGTCTGAGGCTTGATTTATTTATATGGTAATGAACAGTAATATCAGTTTAAATTCAGGAGTGATGTGATGTGATAGAAGATTTATGCAAGTAGGTGATCTCTTTACCAGAATTAATTAATCTGATGAGGAAGATACAAGATATCATTACCAAAAGAGTCTGCTTAGGAGTACCTGATTATCTACAAATTATAAACTGATTTTTAGAATTCGATCCTGCCAGTTTTAACATCTGATTCTTTAGCAATAGGAAAGGAATGAAGTTCGGGGCCTAGTACAGAATCTGGTGATCATAGCAACCACTTCTGGTGTTGTGTATTAGCCACAAAGAAAACATTTCCCAAGCTTTTGGTTGGCTTTTGGTTTTTCATAGTCAGGCAAATGCAACTACTTTTAAATGACAGTCTCAACTGCTTATCAGTCCTGTGTCTGACAGCCCAACTTCCCAAATGCATATATATCTGTCTTTTTGTATGCCACGTGTAGGTGGTGAAAAGCAATGATGGCGGCTATTATTTCACTCTTGAAATGTGCATATGTCTAACTCATTCAGGTGAATGGTAGTTCCACATAAACATCAGAGAGCCAATACATCCTGCTTTCTCTTATTTTTACACAGCTGTGGTATTTCAAACATAGTACTATAGCAGGAAGTTGCAAGACTCTTATTAAACACATTCCCCAAGAAACAGAACACTTCCAGTGTAACTCCTGAAAATGAATTTCTTCTGCAGTTAAAAGTAAGTTCTCCTGATAGCTTGCATCTGACTGAGCTATTCATGGTCATGGTGTTGGTATAACTTCCTGTGCCTAGATGTCGCTGTTGATTATTGTCTTTCCTGAAGCTTATTTTCAAAACCACCATTGCTTATTACCCTACCCTTTGGTCCAAGGTCCTTTTCATATCCCAAGACATTTCACATAGATCAACCAGAGAGAAAAGAAAACATTTTAACCTAATCAGAGCAATGAGCTATTACCACAGCAATAAGCTGTAGTAATTCCACTCTGGGGAATGGAAGACTTAATTTCATAAGTAGGGAGAAGAAGGGGATCTCCGTAGCATTTTAGAGTCAAGGGAAGACATATGATAACCAAAAGCACACAAATCTTGTATGATAATAGAATGAAAGGCAATCATTGAACAACAGAAGGCTATGTGACAGGGCAGTGATAAGGTGTCTGGGCCTCTGTCACCTGATAAGCACTCACCGTGGTTTCATCTTCATGGAGCACCTGGTCGTAACCACTCAGCGCCACACAGAAAATGATTGCTGTGACGTCCTCAAAGCAGTGAATCCATTTCTTACGTTCTGATCTCTGACCTCCCACATCGAACAGCCTGTGCATGAAACAGGGACGGCTCTTCATTTATTCTTCATTAATAAAGAGGAAATGTTAGTGATACCTTTGCATTTCTCAGATTTCATCCCCAGACAATTCCAAGTATAGGGCAACAGAGCCTGCAATAGCTCACATCACTGCTTCCTCTGAGGTGTGGAACCCCTCCCTCTGCAAGGGAGAATCCTAAGGACACCTGCTAGCAGGGAAGCTCATGACAGCATAGCTTGTTTGTGGGTTGATTGCTCTGGGGACTTTGGTGACTTCACAGGTGAGGTGCCTTCATGAAAAGAGCCCTTGATTCTGTAGTACATAATAAAACATGTGCTTGAAACATCTTTCCCCCTGCATTTGAGAGAAGAATTACTGGCATACCCCTCGAGTGTCAATCGGAAGTGTTTCCATTCACCTACATAGCATTATCCCATTTAGGTGAGAATTCGTTCTGCTATTTTTACATTTATGAAGCTAGCCTGGCCCAGTGGTATATTTAGTTTTCATATTGTATCTCCAGCACTGATGGTTCTGAGGAAGATAAAAAAACCCCTCTGTTATGTGCACATGTAGAATACCTTGTCTATAGGGAAATCTTACCTAATGTAAGTCAAGCTGTGCCTTCCATAGCAGAATGGTGAACCATTTTAAAACACTTTATGCCAATAATTGTAGCCCTGCAGAAATCTGGTTCTTGCTCAGGTGGAGCACAGCAGCTAGTTAAATAAATCACGCATGGTATATTATGCAGGTTTGGGACAGAAGAAATTTGAGCCAAGATACCATAGCTGCCATCACATAATGCCAACAATCACTGTTTGAAAAGATAATATTGCATTCACACCAGACTAACCTGAAGTGGAGGTTTTTGAATGTGAAATGGGTTTCTACAATGCCGGTTGTTTTGACCCTGGTCCGAAGGATATCTTGCTCTGTTGGCTGGTAGTCCGCAGCTCCGATTCTATCTAAGCTGTCTAGGTAGCTATGAAATGAAAAACAAAACAAAACCATAAGAGTAAGAAGCTCAAGGAACTTTGTTAATCTAGACCCAGCGCTCTTTCCTGCCTATGCAGGGGGTTGGACTCGATGATCTATTGAGGTCCCTTCCGACCCTAAAAAAAAAAAAAAAAAAAAAAAAAAGGATTGAGAATGCAGGAAAAAAGAGAGCTGGAAGGGTCCTCAAAAGGTCATCTAGTCCAATCCCCTGTTCAATCAGTATCCACTACTTATTAATCAATGTTGGCTTTATTTTTCCAAGCTGTTCATATTCTTGTCAAGAAAAAATTCTGCATTGAAAACCTTTAAATCAAACCATACTGGCCCAGGTAACTAGACCCAACACTGAACTAGAATCAGGAACTTAAACAATCATGTTCTGAGTGATGTGATTCCAGACTGTGAATTATGTATTTACTATTATTCACTGCAGTAGTGCCCAAGGGCTGCAAAGGGGTACCAGGGCCCATTGGGTTCATATTGTATGTATGTGGAACAAAAAGCTGCTCCATGTCCTGAAGATTCTTACAATACTGTAGATCCCTGTTTGATCAAAACATTGGGGGGTTTTTAATTAAGCTGTCAGGCAGTGTAGTGTTCTGAGATGCTGCTGTAGAATACTGTTATGTTTTCTTTGTAACGTTCATTTCCAATTTTTTTCTCCCAAAATATCAGCTTCTTGAGAGTGTCTTCTGTATCTGCAAAGCACCCGGCATATTTTGGGTTCTTTTATAATGTAAATGGTTATCAAATAGTGATAGATAAATTGGGAGGAGGAAAGAAAAACGCATACAGCAGGTAGAGAAGTATGACATGTCTACACTGTCATGAAGGCTGTGTTGTGTTGCATAGATACATCTCAGGCAGCTTGAGATTAATTAGTTGGCTACTAGGAGCAATGTATTGATGCTTAACATTGAATTCAACATGGACTGCAAAATATGTATGTGAATCAGGGTTAAACCTTGGGTGGTGAGCCCCTGCCAGGCTCTCTGCTACCACAAATAGACTGCTAGTTCTGCCCCAGCTAGCTTGGATAAGCATGTCACAGCTGCAGTGTGCAGTTACTTGTGGGCTGTGTCTACATCAGCTCTCAAGGCTATCACTGAAAAATAAGCCATGCCCACTCACTCTGGTTCTGTGCCCTCCAAACCTGCAACTCAGGGGGCAGAACACATTCTTGGGGCCCCGCCTTGCTGTTCTCAAGATCTGTTTCTGTCATGCCAGAGAACAGCTGTAGGGGTCTTCCTAGCACATCCCACTGTCTGATTTATGGGTGAGTGCACAGAACAGAAGCAGGTGGCCAGGGCTTAATTTTCAGTGGCAGCCTCCAAAGTAGCTCAGAGGCAATGTTGACATGTCCTTAGAGCAAAGAACCTTTTATTTTATTTAGCTTCAGCACCAATGTTTAAAAGTATTGACCCAGGTAACTATTAAGGGCTTCATTTTTCCATGGTATACACAAATATAAGGTTTAGTGGGTGTGTATACATGTGCAATTAATGCGAAGCAATAAACTCCAGAGCAATTTGAGCCAGAGTAAACTACTCCAGGCACAGCGCCTACACGTGTGTCCGGAACAGGAGCAATTTGAGCCGGGGTAGAGGAGTTTATGCCAGGGCCACTCAGTCCTGAGCTCTGGGTGGTGGTGTCAGGTGATGTTGGGCTGGCTGGGGCATGAGGGTGCTGAAAGTGCAGAACTGTATGGCTAGGCAGCAGGCAGGAGTCTGGCTCCCCACTGGATGGGCTGACCAGGCACAATTTATGCCTATGACCAGTGTCTACATGTGCATTTAATCACAGTAAATTACCCCGGAGGCAGTACTATTTTACTGCATCATAAATTAGTTTACTGGGACCTAATACCATTGCATGTATAGATAGGGATGCTTTACTCCACAACTAATTAGCCAGTAAAGCGCATATGTAGACGTGGCCTATAAGAACTTGCTTCTGATCGGGGCTCAACAATTATCTGATCCAGCAATATGCTTCAGCAGGCACGTAACACAATCCCACTGAAATTGGTGAGGCCATGCACATGGTTAAGGCGGGCCACAAGCTTAAGTACTTTGCCAAATAAGGCCACTGTGCACAGCATGCTGCAAGACTGTCTCCAATACTCTACTGTAGTTATAAAGGACTCTGTGCATTAATATTGAGAAATAAGGTGGCTGAAAGCAGGAGCATTGGTTTGTATGATGAAGTGTAAGTCACTGGCTTTATGAATTGGACTTAATTATTTATTTGCATAGGAACCAACTCAAAGTCTGCAAACTATGCCTGGTTAGATAGTTTAGGTAAAAGATTGCCATTAAACTGTTCATGATTTTTCACTTTGCTTAATCATCATTGTTAGAGTGGTAGCTGGTAGCAACGCTAGAGGTACTGCTCTGATCTAGCTTGGGTAACAATCCAAAAATTATGGTAGTAGAAACTGCAAACTTATGGTAAAGGAATCCTGGCCCCGCTGAAGTTAATGGCTAAACTTTCCTTGACTTCATGTGGGATGGGATTGCAGTTTATTTCTAAATACTGCGTACTGCTCACATCCCAAGGTAGCAGGGACCATGCAAGTGCTTAAATAGACTGACAGGCAGATAGATAGATAGATAAAGGCTGGGATTTTCAAAGAGCTTAAGGGAATTACAAACCCAATACCCACTGACATTTGACGGTATTTGGGTATCTAATTCTTTTAAGCTTCTTTGAAAACCTTAGTCAAGATAGTCACCCATCTATCTTGTATAGATCATGCTGAAATTTTGTTTGTATGGAGGTTTTGTGATGTAAAAAAATAGAAGAACAGGATGAAACCTACTAAGTTGATTTTCATTTATGCCCTGAGTGAACTCAGGTGTCTTTTGAATTGAAAGAACCTCAAGCTCTTTACTAAGCCACTTTCATCATTTGATTCCCTACTCATATGCTATATTCCATTTAATTAAAAAAAAAATCCCAATGTCTCTGTGAAACTGAAAAACAAACCTCTCTTCAGCCTACTCAGGTCGTCTTATATTTTTACTCCTGATCATTTTCATTATTCATTTTCAGTGAAAAATCACAGAATTGTGTCACCCAGAGAAACGTGCAAGGTTTAAGTAGGCATTATTTTTACTATGCCCTTTGTCAGGTATTTAAAAACATCATGATTTTGTGACAGATGCTTCCTTAATAGACTTATGATGGGCTATGGATATATGAATAGGGCTACATCAGCTCATCGTGGTAATAAGATTCCTCGCTGTGATGACTGCAGACATAATCACTCATTTATTCACAACTGGTTGTCAGTTTCCATTATTTAAGAGGTGGCTCTCTGAAGATGTGAATCTCTCTAACTTCATGTTTCCATAAACAGGCAGCTTTGCAGTTTTTACATGTGTTTGCTTATACCTGCTGACCCATGTTCTCATGAGAAAAGCTCAAAGAGTTCAAAGAGCTCAAACTGTACTCTGGTTCTGGGGTATATGTTGGGACTCATGTATCCGTTCATCGTTGTTTCTTGCACAATAGGCTTAGCTCCCTTCACCTCAGCATGTTTCCTGATAGCTATTCCTTTGAGTCCTTTGGAGTAATTTTCCAAAGAGACATTTCCTCCTTAATCTACATCATTCAGGGTTAGCATTATTCCCTAGACTATGGAGGTTCAGATCCTTAGTTTTTTTACAATTCCAGTCTGCTGTAATGCTGGGTGTTCTCCCTATCTATACCAATATCAAATCCTTTTTGTCTGTGTCAAAGTGAGCTCTTGGATTTTATATCTGGTGGTGGTGAAGACCACAGGCCAATTGCACATTGTAAGAAAAAAGGTACATACGTTCATCACTTGTGAATTGTTTGCTATTTGCACTCGCTTTAATCTCTCCTCATTCATTTGTAGCCAGAGAAGTTTAATAGGAATGCTTGCTACACCTTCTCTACACCTTTCACTACTATGTATACTTGGAGCAAAATTATTTCTATTTAACTTTTTGCAACTAAAACAAGCCCATTTTGCATCCCATTAAAAAATGTAATTGATCTTTGCGGTGGGACACTGTCACCACACAACTGCCATGTGAATTTGCAGATGTCTGCTTTATAGATTCATAGATGTTAGATGTTGGAAGGGATCTCAGTAGGTCATTGAGTCCAACCCCTTGCCCTGGGTAGGAAAGGAGTGCTGAGGTCAGATGACTCCAGCTAGGTGCTTGTTCAGTCTCCTCTTGAAGACCTCCAGGGCAGGGGAGAGCACCACTTCCCTTTGGAAGTCCATTCCAGATTCTGGCAACCCTTACTGTGAAGAAGGTCTTTCTAATGTTCAACCTAAATCTACCCTCCATCAGTTTGTGGCCATTGTTCCTAGTTACTCCAGGGGATGCCCTAGTAAATAGAGCATCTCCTATTCCCTGTTGCCCCCCCCTTATGAATTTGTAGGCAGCCACAAGATCACCTCTCAGCCTTCTCTTGCGAAGGCTGAAGAGATCTAGGTCCCTCAGTCTCCCCTCATAGGGCCTTGCCTGCAGGCCTCTGACCATATGAGTGGCCTCCTCTGAATCCTTCCAAGATTCTCCTCATCCCTATTGAAGTGCGGCGCCCAAAACTGGACACAGTACTCCAACTGCGGCCTGACCAGTGCCTCATAGTGCTGCCTAGAGTCCATAGAAGCATCACTTCTCTGGACCTGTTTGTCATGCATCTGCTAATGCATGATAAAGTGCGGTTAGCCTTGTTGATCACTTCATCACATTGGCAACTCATGTTCATCTTGGAGTCAACAATGTCTCCAAAATCCCTTTCCGTTGCCGTGCTGCTGAGAGGGTCATCCTCCAGCCTGTAAGTGTGTTGGTAGTTCTTTTTGCCCAGGTGCAGCACTTTGTACCTGTTTTTGTTGAACTGCATCCTATTTCCTTCTGTCCATTTTTCCAACCTGTCTACATTTGCCTGGATCTGTTCTCTACCCTCTGGTGTGTTAACTTTTCCCCATAGTTTGGTATAATTTGT